GGCTGTTTTGGGGACAAGGTCAGAGAGGCCAGATTGAGATGGTTTGGACATGTGCAGAGGAGGGATAGTGGTTATATTGGTAGAAGGATGTTGGAGATGGAGCTGCCAGGCAAGAGGTCAAGAGGAAGGCCAAAGAGGAGATACAGTATATGGATGTGCTAAAAGAGGACATGAAGTTAATTTGGGCGAGAGTAGAGGATGCCGAGGATAGAGTTAGGTGGAAACGGATGATTCGCTGTGGCGACCCCTAACGGGAACAGCCGGAAGAAGATGTTTGTTGTTTCCACCACAGTGAAAACACATCTGTCGTTAGATTTAGAAAAGTCACATTTCAGGTGCAGACGAATTTTTCGGTGCAGTGAAGTCTAACAGGAGCCGGGACGGATGTTGCGCCTCCGATTACTGTTCGATCAGCTAATCGCGCTATAGATGGCTAGATTCCGGGGGGGGGGGGGCCGGGGGTGCATTATGAATTTATCATGGACAAGGAGCAGATCTCAACAGATTTATTAAAGTTTATGTTCTTTCAGAAAGACAAAGGTCAAAACCACAGTCGGTCGAGGTGGAGTTCAGGTAAAAACTGCCTGAACAGTGAGTCTAGGGTGAGACCCTGAGAGTCCAACGGAAACACCAAAGACCAAGACAAGCCAGTGTACCTACACAACCAGAGCCAAACCCCCACACACCAGAGAGGAGGCCAAGTCCATGTTCCCGTCACAGTACATGGAAACAAAGCAGAAACATGTTGACTTTCTCATGTTTATTGAAAATGTAACACCAGAAAACAAGTGTGGCCACATTCAGGGTCGTGGTTCAGGTCAGACACATCGACCCAGACCTCTTCTCTCTAGTGCTGCTATTACTCACACAAATAATGGACACAAAAGGTGTGTTGACATGTTCCCTGCATCCTGTACTGCTGAGAAACCTGCTGCTTTCTGACCTCGGGTTCCAGCTCCTGATGCCTCCAGGGTGTTCGTGTCGCAGCGGTGGTTACAGTTGGTGTTTTCGAGTGTCTACTCAACCAGTCACAATCAAACACAGTGAAATACCAGAACTTGGGTTAGTATCACGTCCTGAGCAGAGCCCAAATTCAGTTCTAGGATCTTGTCCCCAAATTGAAACTACAGAACCAGAGACGGTGGAGACGTGCCATTACATCTCTGCTGTGTACAAGGGTCAGTAAATGTCAGAATGTTAATGAGCCACTGTTGCTGTTTGTCCTCCCACAGGAAGAACCAGTCCTCCCAGTGTGTTGCTGTCAGCGGGGATGTGCTTCAGTGTGGGTGAGGATTTGGGGCAGTAAGGGTGGGGCCAGATGGTGGGGGGCATGGCCCCTGTACAAGTATAGGTCCAGTGTGGGTGGGGCAGGTGGATACAGGTAGTGTGTGGGCAGGAGCACCCTGCCAGCTCCAACCAGCAACTCCAGACCGACCGCACATTGACGTTTCCACTTGGTCCTGACGGAGGAGAGACAGTGTTAGCACAAAAATAGCACAACAGCTGGTAAAAGGAAGTGATCTTTATCTAAACCGTGTATTCCCAAATAGGGTGGCGGGGGGTGGAGCCAATACCAGCTGACACTGGGTGAGAGGCGGGGTCCACCCTGGACAGGTCTCCAGTCTGTCACAGGGCTGACATGTAGTTTATAGGCTAAGCTGCATGTCTTTGGACTGTGGGAGGAAGCTGGGGCACCCAGAGAGAACCCACACAGGGAGAACATGCAGACTCCACACAGAAAGGCCCCAGGTCGGCCGGGACTCAAACCCAGAACCTTCTCACTGTGAGATGACAGTGCTAACCGCAGTGTGGCTTTGCCTCCCAGAAACCAGGTATGATTGATAATTTGAAGAAACGACAATTTTCAGCACTGTTGGCGGCACAAGGATGCTTATAAATACTGTAACAAATCCATCGTGTTAATGTAGGAGGGAAGTTGGACTTTGCCGATTTGCTCAGTGATGGACGTTCTGCATAACGGTAAACAAGTGACAGATAAACTTTTCTCACTAATTTAATAGAGATGGCATGAGTTGCTGACTAAGCTAGTAGACAGAGAACTGGAAAACAAAATGAACATTGACATCAGGAAACAAACTGGAGTTTCACATCACGTGCACAGAAAGGCCCCAGGCTCGAACCCAGAACCTTCTTGGTCCGCTAACCACTGCCTCACCCTGCCACTAGAACAGATACCAAATGTGTGTGTGTGTGATGATTATGTGGACCTCCGTTCAGGCAGCGCCTCCTCCTCCTCCTCCTGTGGCTAAGTCAGGTTTGGTTCTGCAGGAGTGATTGATCATTAATCACAAGTGGCTCAGCGCAGCCTTCAGAATCCACACCACAGGCCACTGGAACCGCTTGTGGCACAGTATTTACGTTGTGTTACTTTTTGTGGAGCTGATTCTACACTGCCTGTACTACAGCCTTTGCTATTTCTAAACTATGTGTATAAACCACCACACACACCCCAGCCGGAACTCCGGTCTGGTTCCGTGGGGCACCTGCTCCTACAGAAGCTGTCTGGCCGGGGTGACACGTGACCCTGCTCATGTGCCGGGTGCTGCCTTACCTCCTGTTCTGGTACCAGGTCTTGACCTGGGCGTCGCTGAGCTGTAGCGAGGCGGCCAGCTCCATGCGGTCCTGGACACTCAGGTACTTCTGCTTCTGGAAGCTTCTCTCTAGCTTCGACAGCTGCTGGTCGCTGAACGCTGTCCGGGCTTTCCGCGGTTTCTTCAGGCGGTCCGCGGCATAGTCCGAGGCCTCGGCCTGCCCTGAGTGATGGACATGAGACATGATGTCACGTGAGAGCTGCCAGGTGATTGGTCAGTGAGCGTTCCAACCATGGCGGTCATTAGGACTCAATAGTTGCAGGTCATGGAAAATCCTTGAATGCGCTTAATTCAAGGTCTGGGACTATCAGACATTATTAAACCGAACATCCGCGGTCCCCCCCCCCGGTCTGCTGGCTCACCTAGGCTGAGGTTAAGCTGGGGTCTGGGTTTCCCCTGCGGCCAATGTGAGGTGCTGCTGGTTTCATGACTATATACACTTTCCAGGTGGATTTAGTCATTTTCAGGAGATATTTGTCAAATCAGCATTAAAATGATTTACTGTGGGTGTTGCAAACATTAACCGGGATCAGCTGATGAAGAACTTTAAACTGGAGTTTAATTCACTGGTGACCTTTTCACCTTTTTGTGGTCGCTCTGTGATGATGAAGACCAGCTTCAAAGAATTTAACGTCACTGAGGAGAAACTGAAGAATTAAGGAGCAGCTCCGACATTAGTGTTTCTAATTAACGTATTTATTAAAACCATCAGTCAGCGGCAGAATAGATAAAATGCACACATTTAATGAGTGCGTGCGCAAGCGCGTGTGTAGCCCTGACTGCAGCGATTCATGTAGAAAACAAATGTGTAAAAAGCTGCAGAAACCTGAAAAACATAAGATTTGATACAGATTTAAAATTATTAGAATAATTCATCTATAAGATCCTGTGTTATAAATATTTGGTAATCTCAAAATATTAGTTTGGTATTGAGATTAAGACAATATGCAAATGTACTGAGAATAAATTAAATCGGGGTCAAGTCAAATGATGTTTTTTACTTTTTGCAAATAAAAATCTGAAAAACATTTGTCACATTTCCGTCTTTGACTTTCGGATTAAATAAACTGTTAGACCTCAGGAACCCTCAGCCTTTATTTCTGTGGCGCTTAAACAACTAAACAACAAGTTGACCGAAGTGCTTTACAAAACAAAATAAAAACATATACACAGGTCAGTGTTTACTGACAACAGCTGATCAACACCAATAAACCGGTAAAGCTCCACTAAAGCCCAAATAAAGGAGTCTTTACATTGGAAGGGGAAAGGCACGGCCGGGCTCGGACCCGGACCCGGTTCTGCTACAACCAGACCATCACATCGGTGTTAATAATTCACTGAATGAACCGGGGCCAGGCCCTTGCAGCCCCAAACAGTGGACGCCGTTAAGTCCTGTTTACGCGCTGGATTCATTAGTTTATCGTTGACACAGACGTGTTTCTGCGCCGACTCGGATTAAACTGGTTCCTTCTGCCGTATTTGCTGTAAACGCAGGTAAACGACGTAATACGGCCCGTGTAAACAGCTCAGCTTGTTTTCCACCATAAAATGATGAAACAACTTTGCAGGTTGTACTTGATCCTGTCAGGTCTGATTAACAGGTGAGCTCACGCGTCCCTTCCCCGCGCTCTCGGTCTCCTACCTCTGGACTCACAGCAGCTGCTGACACTTTCATCTGGACAGAATTCATCCGGCCTCGACTGGACCCCGGCTCTGCTTCCAGTACCGCCTGCCCCGGGTCAGAGTACGGCCGACAGTCCGCCAAGATGTCCCGGATTAGGAAGGAGGAGCTGACGGTGCGGGGCTGGAGCTGCTGGAGCTGACCGGGCAGCAGAGGAAACTCTAGCCGGGGAACGAGCTCCCTTCGCGGCGAAGGAGGCGCCGAGCAGCCGTTGCTTCCTCCCGGGCTGAGCTCCGGATGGGTTGCGCGGGAGAGTAGCGCGCCGGGCGGCCTGAGGGGGAGCACAGAGTCGATACCGGACCTGGAGACAGAAACCTCCATCTGTGTCCAGTCTCAGGCGAGTTTGTTCAGTAGAAACATCAGAGTAGAAACAAGTCAGAAAATATTAATGGAAATTGAAGCATTCTGAAAGTTTGAATGAAACATAGCTTTAGAATGTCTCAAATAAAAGCGTTTAACAGAGGGTATTGATCCAGATAGAAAATGAATCGATCAGCAGCCAGTTCAATAGCACAGAGAGAGAGAGAGAGAGGATTGATGAAACTCTCCTCCTCCTCCTCGTCAACACAAATTTGTCCTGTTCTGGTATTTTGCAGGCAGAGTAAAACTCGCACCCAGGTTCAACTGAAGGACACAAAATAAACATAAATATGACACAAAACAACACAAACGGGCTCAGACCGGAGCTGCACGTCCATCAACATCAACTGTAGTATAGGTGGTAGCTGGTTTATGTTACATGTGTGTTGCTTACATTTTTTTATTTATTAGTATATTGTTGGTCATGTTTATCTGTTTTGTACACAGCGAAGGGGAAGGAGCCTAGTGAACCCAGGCTCCTCTTACTTTCTGTGATTAGTTCATGTTAAGAAAAGTTAATTGCCTTGTTAGCTGCATCAAACAAAAGTTCAGTTCAGAACCATAAAAAAATCACAGGAGTTCCTCACTGTAACGTCGTTAAGTCTGTCGGAGGTTTTGTCTGTTACAGGGAGTTTTTCCTCTCCACTGTCCCCAAATGCTGCTCAGGGTTTGGCCAGTTTTCCCTGTAACACCCTAAGGTCTACACTTGACTATGTAAGTGCCCTGAGATGGTCTTTGTTGTGATTTGCCACTGAATTAAGTAGCTCTGATATTGTTACTATTAAACTTTAGTAACAGCAGTGCGTTAAATTACTGCATTACTATGGAAGATAATATGACCTAATCCTCAATGTTACATAATGCTAATGAGGAAGAACAGTGGATCAGAGTATCAGAACAAGACGGCACAGAATAGTTCACAAGTTGCTTTCATATGCAGAAACGATAATGGTCCCAGTACAGAGCCCTGAGGGACTCCTCAGATGTTTTCAGACTGATGCCTACATGGTTTTGAGTCAGATACCACACACAGAGTTATGACATGTTTTCATTTGTATTTGCATCAGATGTTCTAAGGCAGGTTCAGCCTGTCTTGTCCTCAGCTCAGTCCAGACTGTACGTCCCCAGACCCTGATGCCCTCTCCTGGACACTGAGTCAGACTGATGAGCCCTGAATGCCCGCAGACGAGCCTCCTCATCCCTGAAGGTGTCCAGAGCAGCAGGAACCTGAGGAGAGGAGGACAGAGGATTTTGAGCTGTTACAGTAGGTTCAGATGTTATGGCTCAGTTTTAGCTCTCTGTTTGGTCGCCACCGCCTCCAGAGGGGAACCTCTGGCTTTGAAGCAGCTAAATGTTGCACTGTGTTCGCCAGCTGGTCTCTGACTGGCTCCGTCTGCTGTTGGCTACTGAGCAGGGTGTGGACAGCAGCTGTTTAGAGCATCTCCTCTGAAAACAGCTGCTTCCTGCTGCGACCCAACAGTAACATTGCGGTCCGGCACTACGCAGTGTCACCATTACACAGTTACTTTATCCTTTGTTAGAAATATTAGAGCAGCTGTAAAACAGAAGCCAGGGATGAGCAAGTGTGTGTGTGTGTTACCTGTGTGAAGCGAGGCAGTTTGAACAGAGGCTGTGTGACTGGCAGGGCTCGACTTCTCCTCAGCAGACTGGTCCTGGTGTCAGGAATACAGCCTCGCTTCATCTGCACACACGCATGCAAATGTTTATTTGAATCCTCCAGATCGGCAGGTCTCAGGTGTTTAGAGAGGCCTCCTGTGCTGTTCAGAGCAACACGTCATCTGCTGCCTGACCTTTTCTGTCTGTTCAAACATCACATCCTGTTGTCCTAAACTAAGATTTCACTGAAATGTCAGACATGCATACAAGAATAACGGCAATGTCACTGGTGCGACGGTCCGATCCCCACTTCAGCACCATCAGATCTGGGAAACTTCAGCTGTGATGTGAACGTGGCCTAGAGACTTGCACTACCTTGTTTTTGAGGCTAGGGTTAGTCTCCTGACATCAGCTGACAGAGCCAGAGTGGATGAGAAGCTTAGCCCTGGGACAACATGACCACTGAGATTTGTTTTTGCAACAGATTCTGTGCAGCATCAACCACAAGTGAAGTGGCAGTAAACATTTATCTGATTTATACTTGAGTTTTTAGCTTGTCCCATCCACTAAGACGGAGGGGGCGGGGTTTATGACCTAAGCTGCCACCAGGGGGCGGTTGACTCACACAAACAGACTGGGCATCCTAGTTTCACTGTCTGCCTTTCTCACCCTGTGCAGCTGCTCCTGGTTGCGGGTTTGGTTCCTGCTCAGCTGTTCATCCAGCCAGCGGCGAGCATACTGATGAGACAGCAGGTCTGCCAGAGGCGACGGTGGCCTGGTGGACAGATCCATCACTTGTACATCACTCGCCATCAATCAATGATCACTCACTTTTGTGTCAGTTTCTCACCTGTGTGTGACTCCAAATGTGATGTCAGGCACCACCGGGCGCCATGAGGTCCTGCCCTCCTGTCTTGGAGCAGGGCCCTGGGTCTTGACCCCCTGGGCTCGGTACTGGCTCAGCTCTTTAGACGTCACCAGACCAGACTTCACTGCGTCTCGGTTCAGAGACACGAAGTCGGGGACGACTGGTCGATGGGAAGCAGAGTCCGCACTTCTGGACTGGACCTGCCAACTGGATAGAACTGACACAGCACAGGGACCAGGTCAGGGACTGCATCTGCACAGCTTTACCAGGACGTGTAACAAAGTCCTCAAGTGTCCTCAGCGTCATATAGTTAAAGTTTCAGTAGTTGTTCTGATTCTGTCCATGCTACACTGCTGCCCTGTTGTTGTAGTACTAGATGTACTGATGTGCTGACAGAGGCCCTGTAGCTACTCCTCAACCCTAAAACCAATCCTGGCACGCCCTCACAAATACAGCAGTATGACACTGAGTACACTGAGTGGCAGCAGTAAATACACAGCGACAGCAGGCCACTCATGCTTTTCATCAAACCAAACCCAGTAGAATCATCAGTCACTATGATCCAGTATCAGAGACATTACTGGGACACTGGCCGTTCTGCAGGACGAGTACTGGTACTGCTGGTACTTCAGGTAGATTTGGGTGCTGATACTTTTGTACTCTTATTCCAGTAACATGTTGGATGCAGGACCTTTACTTGTAACAGAGTAATTTCCATTGTGGTATTACTACTTTTAATGAAGTAAAACAGTACTTCTACCACCGATGGGTTTTACAAATACTTGACATCACATGTCTGAGGCTAACATGGCAACAGGTGTTAGCACTGGCAGACTTACCTTCGGCCACACCCCCGTCTCTGCTAGTGCTCATCCCAAAAGTGAAATCTGGACCAGGAACTGACAGACCTCTGGACCGGGTCTGACCCAGAGGTGCCTGCACAGAGGAAGGACACATCATCACCATCATCAGTGTCTTCATCGTGTCCCTGCTGAGACCTGCCCGCTGTCCGCTTCAGTCTCCTCGTGGTTTCTGTTCAGTGACTGTACCCTCATGGGAAGCCCAGGGCATCTCCAAACCCTCCTCACTGGCGCATTTAAGGGCTCTGAACAAATGTTGCTCTCAGGGACTCAAACTGCAGCAAACACATTTTGAAGCTATGACAGTTTGTTCATTCCTTAAAATGTTTGTGTGAACCACTGAGCTCTGATTAAATGACGATCACCACTTCACCCCCAAACAGGATGCTACACAAACATTGTACACAGAGTTGTTCTTTGCTTCTTTAATCGAGCAGCATCATGTTAAATAAAAACCCAACGTTGGGACATCTGAGCTCAAACAGGAATGGATTAGATTGCTGCTGAGTCAGAGCTGACACAAAGAAGCTGATGGTTCTGTGTGTTCTGGCAGAAAAACATGGTGATCAAGCTGTGAGGAGCGTTAAAGAACAGGGTGGATCTATACATCTGATTGGCTGTTCCCTCCCCGATCCACCGTGTGACCAGTTGTTCAGGATAAATGCGTGTACTGTTCCCACTCAGACAATAACAGTTAGAGTCCGTGTGCCAGACCTGAGGACCGTACCACGAAGCTGGTCCAGCTCTCCCGGGGGCCACTGAGCCTGACCCAGTACCACACAGCCTGTAGTGGACTGGCTCTGTTCGGTCTGGGTTTTCCCATCAGTCTAGGAGCGCATTCATATGGTGATTAGAAGCGACATGGCCAGCACCGTGAGTGAAGTACTAACTGTAAAACGAGACGGAGCAGTGGCACCTGCGGGGAAACTGGGGACATGCTGTGGTCATAGAGGATGAGAAGCTGTAGAAACATGAGCAATAACTTCCAGATATTAAAGTCAGGCCGAGAATATATTGTACACTTTTCTAATGACGAAGAAACCGTTGTGAATGTGTGTTAGTAAAAACCTCCAACAGCTGCTGACAGGTTCAGATCCCATCCTCTGCAGCATCGGTTACCATGGTGATCGAGGCTGATTGGTACTGAGCCAGCTCGTGGTACAGGCCCCTGTTGCTTGAGGGGGTTCAGGTCTGTGCTGCCACCTACAGCCCACCCAGAGCTTTCACACATGATTCACTGCCTTCTTCAGGGATCCGGTTTGAAGTCAGACACAAGGATATGTTATGTTTAACAATGACCATCATTACAAGGACCTTCTATTCACTGAATAAAGTTCTGTAGAACGTCAAGCTTCCCAGTGAACACCCTGCAGCTCCTTCACAGTAAAAGCTCAAAGGAACTCGGTCTAAATGTGTTTTGGACCTGTGGTATTGTTCACCTTGATGTGCAGCGGGTTGGTCAACATGGACTCTCTGACCACGCCCAGCCTCGGCGACGACATGTTTCCTCGGTGATGAT